TTATTCTATTCTTAAAAGCTATGTGGTGCCGGGCGGTGGTGGCGCACGCCTTTAATCCCAGCACTCGGGAGGCAGAGGCAGGCGGATCTCTGGAGTTCGAGGCCAGCCTGGTCTACAAGAGCTAGTTCCAGGACAGGCTCCAAAGCCACAGAGAAACCCCGTCCCCCCCCCAAAAAAAAAACCCCAAACAAAAAAAGCAATGTGTATGGGGGCTGAAGAGACAGTTCACAATTAAGATTGGTTTCTGATCAACATGAAGTCAAGGAGTTCAGATTCCAGCACCCAAACTGGGTGATTGACAAATGCTGGTAACGCCCATTCCTAGGGATCCCACACCTTCTTACCATCTTGGGATACCTATGTGTGTGCACGCACACACATACACACCACTCACAAAGACATATTTGAATAACAAAAGCAATAGTTTAGCTGGTTAGACAATGGAGTAAAGTCTCTGCTTCCTTGTTCTGGGAAGCCAAAATTTGACATTCTACATACTAATAGGTTGCTTTAAATAGAACACTTACTTCACAAATAGAATATTAAGCAGGTAAGAATCCCTGGAAACATCACAGACCCAACTATGATGAAATTCAACATGTGCATACTATTTAATCAAGATTTGGGTAGCTGGTTCCTTTAGTGTTTCTTACTCTCCCCTCCCTCCATCTTTTCTAAAGCTGAGCTACTTTTAGTATAACCACTGAGAAAAAAATCAGAAGAACCACAATATAATGTCTGAGTTTAGGCCACTTACATTTACCTAACAATGTTAGCCTGAAGTGTCTAAACTTGTGGATGGTAACATATAAAGACTCCTAGAAGTGAGCTAAAAATAAACCATCTCAAAGCTGCTGCGTTTTACTGCCAATAGGAGGCCCACTCTCCCCTATGGCTAGCTGTCTTTAGCTATCTAAGCAGACATTTATTTCAAGGACTTCCAGGTTTCCAGGCAACAGTTATAGCTGAGATTTCTGCAAAACAGTGATGTATAGTTTGGTGGTGGTGTGTGTGACAGAAAATAATATCAAGGCAGAGTGGCATAAGCAATAGGGATAGAAAAGCGCCCTAGAATAGCCCATTTCAATTTGACTGTGCATCATACCTAGAGCATTGATAGACAGAAGGCATAGAGCTAGACTGTTAGATATCAGATTTTCCTGACAGCATTTTGGTGATTAAATTAGGTAGTTTTTGGGAACACAAACCAAAGTGATTCTTTATGCTTTTACTGCTTATTAATGATTATATTTGAGCCACGGATACTTAAAGTTAGTTGACTTTCTGGAAAATTAAAGCTAGTAAAATCCATTACTATATATGATTATCTTTAGATTATAAAAAGATAATGGATCTGGGAAGTGGTGGCACAGGCCTTAAAACCCAGCATTTGGGAGGCAGAGGCAGGTAGATGGAGACCAGCCTGGTCTACAAAGGGGTCTACAAAACAGCCAGGGCTGTTACATAGAAAAATCATGTCAGGAAGGAAGGAGGGAGGGAGGAAGAAAGGAAGGAAGACAATAACAACAAAAATCAAAAACAAAAAAGAGAAAAAATAAAAATAAAAGGATAATGGAAAATGTGTCTTAATATCTATATGTAGCCTTCAGAAAATCTGTTATTTCAGCCAGTGACCAAGGAAAAGTATGAATTTTGGTCCCACTGGTAAGTCTGGTGTTAATAAACAAAGATTGCTGGAGGATTCAGTGTCAACAGATGATATTAGTTTGTTCGTTAACCAAAACATTTCCCACAGAGGGTGGCCATGAGTATAATACAGCTAGACTCCTCAAAGCTACCTTCATACTTAAACCTGGCATAAGGACAGTGAGACTTACCCAGTTCTCCAAGCACTGACCCTCAATCCCAAGGGGAGGATCAACGAAAGAAGTTAGAAAAGACAGAAAGCACAGCACCCTCCTCTGGTTACCCGGGGAGTCAGTTGCTGTCCAAGCCTTCTGCTCAGTACACGTTTCTCAGAAGGCTGGGAAGTTTTGATGTCATACTGAAGTTTCAGAGAAGTGGTTCTCAGGCTGGTTGCATGTGGGAATCATCAGAAATTTTAAAGGGACAGATCCTTTGGGGCCATTCCAGAACTATTGGATCAGAGTCTTCAGAGTGCAGGTTGGCTGACTGTGGCTTTAAGAGCTCCTCAGGGAATTCTGGTTGATAGTTACTAGGTTACTAGGCTCCTCTCACCATTGCTAGGCCTTGCTCTCGGTTAAATAGATAGTTTTAGAAGGGTTCTTCAAGTTCACAGAAGGACCTGAAGAATAATCTTTTTGATGTTTCAAAGACTACCTGTTGCCGCAATAAGTCCCATCTTTTAACCTGCCCCTTTTCTTTATGGGGAGCCAAATACAGAATTCTATAAGTGAAAGGACAAGCTCAGCACACTTTCAAAAATCAAAATTTTAGTTTACTTTTGATATACTGAATCTAATCTACCAGACCCTGAGCTAAACATACTCATGTAACAAATCATTTAATCACTTCCTTAGTTGTATAAGGGATTATCATCATTTTTTATAGATATTGATTGAGCTCTACATTTTTCTCTGCTCCCCTCCTTGCCTCTCCCCCTCCCCAGTTAACCCTACCCCAAGGTCCCCATGCTCCCAATTTACTCAGGAGATCTTGTCTTTGTATACTTTCTACTTCCCATGTAGATTATATCTATGTAAGTCTCTCTTAGTGTCTGCATTGTTGTCTAAATTCTCTGGGATTGTGGTTTGTAGGCTGACTTTCTTTGCTTTATGTTTAAAAACAACCTATGATTAAGAGTATGCATTACTCTTCCAAAAGACCCGAACTCAACGCCATCACCCACATCAGACAGCCCACAACTGCCTGTAACGCCAGCTCCAGAAGGACCTGACTCCTGCACTCACTAGTACACACACACACACACACACACACACACATACACACACACACACACACACACACACACACATCTTTAAAATGAAGCAAAAAAATGATGAATTTGTTTGTAAAAGTTTTTGCTGGTAAGCCCTTGAACTGTGCTTAAAGAGTTCTTACCTGAGATCAATTTCCTTTCTACAGTCATTGTTTCCAATAAAAATATCCACTTCCTGAAAAAAAAAACCTATGAGTGAGTACATTTGATAATTGTCTTTCTGTGTCTGGGTTACCTCACTCAAAATAATGTTTTCTAGTTCCATCCATTTTCCTGCAAAATTCAAGCTGTTGTTACTTTTTTTCTGTGGTGTAGTACTCCATTGTGTAAATGTACCACATTTTCCTTATCCATTCTTCGATCAAGGGGCATTTAGGTTGTTTCCAGGTTCTGGCTATGACGAACAAAGCTGCTATGAACATAGGTGAGCACATGTGCTTGTGGCACGATTGAGCATCCTTTGGATATATACCCAAAAGTGGTATTACTGGGTCTTGAGGAAGGTTGTTTCCTAATTTTCTGAGAAATTGCCACACTGACATCCAAAGGGGTTGTACCAGCTTGCATTCCCACCATCAATGTAGGAGTGTTCCCTTTTCCCCATGACCTCTCCAGCATAAGTTGTCATCAGTGTTTTTGATCTTGGCCATTCTTACAGGTGTTAGATGGAATCTCAGAGTTGTTTTGATTTGCATTTCTCTGATGACTAAGGATGTTGAATATTTCCTTAAGTGTCTTTCAGCCATTTTAAATTCCTCTGTTGAGCATTCTCTGTTTAGGCCTGTACTCCATTTTTTTAAACTGGATTATTTGTTCTTTTGATGAACAATTTCTTGAGTTCTTTGTATATTTTGGAGATCAGACCTCTGTCTGCTGTGGGGTTTGTAAAGATCTTTTCCCATTCTGTAGGCTGTCATTTTGTCTAGTTGACCGTGTCCTTTGCTTAAAGAAACTTTGCAGTTTCAGGAGGTCTCAATTATTAATCGTTTCTCTCAGTTGTAGTATGTGGGCCAGGCTGGCCCGTTGGGGTTTCTGTCCTGCCTCGTACCCCACAGCTGACAAGCCCCAAAGAAAATCACACAGAGACTCCATAAGATTATAAACTGATTAGCCCATTAGCTCAGGCTTCTTATTAGCTCTTGTACCTTATATTAACCCATTATTCTTATCTATGTTAACCACATGGATTGGTACCTTTCTGAGTGGGGCAGGTCACCTCTTGCTTCTTTGGAGTCTGGGAAGAACTGCAGAGGGAGATTCCTGCTTCCCAGAATACTCCTGTTCTCATCACAGTATTCTGTCTGGTTGACCTGCCTATGCTTCCTGCCTGGCCAATCAGCATTTATTTAAAACATGATTGACAGAATACAGAAAATTCTCCCGAACCACTCAGTGTCTGTGCTGCTGGGGTTATATTTAGGAAGTGGTTCCCTGTGCCAATGCGTTCAAGTGTACTTCCCATTTTCTCTTCTATAAGGTTTAGTGTGGCTGGCTTTATGTTGAGGTCTTTGATCCATCTGGACTTGAGTTTTGTGCATGGTGATAGATATGGATCTATTTTCATTCTTCTACATGTTGATATCCAATTATGCCAGCACCACTTGTTAAATATGCTTTCTTTTTTCCATTTGATATTTTTTGCTTCTTTACCAAAGATCAGGTGTTCAAAGATGTGTGGATTGATATCTGGGTCTTCTATTCAGTTCCATTGGTCCTCCTGTCTGTTCTTATGCCAATACCAGGCTGTTTTCAGTACTGTAGCTCTGTAGTAGAGTTTGAATTCAGGGGTTGTGATGCATCCAGAAGTTCTTTTATTGCCCAGGATTGTTTTGGCTATCCTGGGTTTTTTGCTTTTCCAAATGAAATTGAGTATCGTTCTTTTGAGGTCTTTGAAGAATTTTTCTGGGATTCTGATGGGCATTGCATTGAATCTGTAGATTGTTTTTGGTAAGATTGCCATTTTTACTATTTTAATTCTGCATACCAAAGAGCATGGGATATCTTTCCACTTTCTGGTATCTTCTTCAATTTCTTTCTTCAAGGATTTAAAGTTCTCATCATACAAGTTTTCCACTTGTTTGGTTAGAGTTACTCTGAGATATTTTATGCTATTTGTGGCTATTATGAAGGATGTTGATTCTCTGATTTCTTCCCCAGCTCTTTTATCATCTGTATACAGGAGGGCTACTAATTTTTTTGAGCTAATCTTGTATTCTGCTACATTGCTGAAAGTGTTTATGAGTTGCAGAAGTTCTGTGGTAGAATTTTTGGAATCACTCATGTAAACTATCATATCATTGGCAAACGGTGAGAGTTTGACTTCTTCTTTTCCAATTTGTATCCTCTTGATCTCCTTTTGGTGTCTTATTGCTCTAGCTATGACCTCAACCACTATATTGAATAAATATGAAGATAGTAGACAACCTTGCCTTGTTCCTGATTTCAGTGGATCACTGGGAGTTTCTCTCCATTTAGTTTGATGTTGGCTGTAGGCTTGTTGTATACTGCCTTAATTAAGATTAGGTATGTTCCTTGTATCTCTGCTCTCCCCAAGACCTTTATCATGAAAGGATGTTGTATTTTGTCAAAAGCTTTTTTGGCATCTAATGAGATGATCATGTGGTTTTTATCTTGCAGCTTGTTTATATGGTGGATTATGTTGACAGATTTCGTATGTTCAACCATCCCTGCATCTGTGGGATAAAGCCGACTTGGTCATGGTGGGTGATGGTTCTGATGTGTTCTTGGATTTGATTTGCTAGTATTTTATTTAGTATTTTTCCATCAATGTTCACGAGTGAGATTGGTCTGTAATTCTCTTTCTTAGTAATGTCTTTCTGTGGTTTGGGTATCAGGGTCTTGATTTAATATTATAAGTGATATTTATCCAGAAAGTTGTCCATTTCCTTTAAGTTTTCCAATTTTGTGGAGTACAAGTTTTCAAAAATATAACCTGATGATCCTCTGTGTTTCCTCTGTGTCTGTTGTTATGTCCCCCTTTTCTTTTTTGATTTTGTTAATTTGGATATTCTTTCTCTGCCTTTTGGTTAATTTGGATAAAGGTGTGTCTACTTTGCTGATTTTCTTGAAGAACCAACTCTTTGTCTCATTGATTCTTTGTTTTGTTTTCTTTGTTTCTATTTTGTTGATTTCAGCTCTCAATTTGATTATTTCCTGCCATCTAGTTCTCTTAGGTGAGTTTGCTTCTTTTTGTTCTAAAGTTTTCAAATGTTCCATTAATTTACTAGTGTGGGATTTTTCCAGCTTCTTTATGTAGGTGTTTAGTGCTATGAACTTGCCTCTTAACACTGCTTTCAATGTGTCCCATACATTTGGGTGTGCTGTGTGGTCATTTTCATTGAATTCTTGGAAGTGTTAATTTCCCCCTTTATTTCTTCCTTGACCCATTGATGATCCATTGTTTAATTTCCATGTGTTTGTGCGTTTTCTGGAATTAGTATTGCTGTTGACTTCTAGTTTTAAAGCATGGTGATCTGATAAGGTACATTGGGTTATTCCATTTTTTTGTATTTGTTGAGGTTTCTTTTGTTACCGAGTATGTGGTCAATTTTTTAGAAGGTTCCATGAGGTGCTGAGAAGAAGGTATATTCTTCTCTGTTTGGATGAATATTCTTTAGATGTCTGTTAAGTCCATTTGAGTCATAACATCTGTTACTTCTGTTATTTCTCTGTTCATTTTTTTGTCTGATTGACCTGTCCAGTAGTGAGAAGGAAATGTTTAAGTCTCCCACTATTAGTACATGGGGTTTAATATATGATTTAAGCTTTAGAAATGTTTCTTTGACATATGCAGGTGCCCTTGTATTTGGGGCATAGATGTTCAGTATTAAAATTTCATCTTGATGGATTTTTCCTGTGACTAATATGAAATGACCTTCTTTGTCTCTTTGGACTAATTTTAGCTTGAAGTCTATTTTGTTAGATATTAGGATAGCTACACCCGCTTGTTTCTTAGGTCCATTTGATTGGTTTATTTTTTCCTAACCCTTTACTCTGATATGATGTTCGTCTTTGAGATTGAGATGCATTTCTTGTATGCAGAAGGATGGATTCTGTTTTTATAT